TTGCTTGTAATTAAATATGTTTGTATTTGTGCATATACATATACCTGTATTTTAACAATGTATGTTACTTTACTATGACAAGGGCAAAAACAAATATATAAAATGTACACTTGCTTTTTATTTGGAAGAAAATGCAGCACTTTTAAATTTTAATGTGACAACTCATGCCTGTAGCATTTTCAGATATGTTTTGCAAGCAATTTGTTAAAGTATTGAAACTTGGTATAAAGATTAGATTCGGTATTAGTCATTTCTGTTTATTTCTATTCACTTATACACTCGCAGATTAACAAGAAAGAGTTGGAATTATAGATAACATGTGAACTGTTTTATCACACAGTCTTCCATACCCAGGAAAACTTGTAAAGTCTATGGACATCTGACCGGTGTACCAAGGCAGAAAAAGATCAATCATCTAACAGACATGATGTGTCCTTTATAAATCTGCACAAATCAATGCTTAGTAATCCTTTGTTAAATGAAATTCCTACCTTAATGTCATAAGACATAATCATGAAGATGTTTGCTCATTCTCTACTATTTTTGTGTTTCCTTATGGTCTTTGCTTTCTTAAGGAAAAGTAAACTCTATCTTTTGTTGAGATATAATTCAATATATCATCTCGTGAGCTTGAAAATTTTAAAGAGTATTTTCTCCACGAAAGTTCATTTCCTTTGCTCATCCTATTGCTTTCAGATCCTTGGTATAATTCTTTCTTCCTCCTTTCCGATCAATTTCCCAGAGGAAAAAAAGTGGTCTTTACTTACACTTTACTCCTCAGTCCACCTGTACTAATAGTCTAGTTTTAAAGAGTATTTATAACACATTGGCCTGGATAAGGGGAAAAAAAAAAAGATATAGTCAGCTTTCATCACTGCAGCTTTGAAGAAGCCAGAGGTACAGAGAAGGAGAAAATGTAGTTGAAACTAGAAACTGCACCATTTGGGCAGTTCTTAAGATTGACAGATTGTTGGACAGCAATTAAGCACCATATTCTCCATTCAAAACTTTTCCCTATATCTTAGGAGCTAGAAACCTGAGAACTACATTTCCCCAAATCTCTGCCAACGAGACTTGAGTTACATTTCACAAATAAAAGATAACTCATATGAATTTCGAAAAGCAGAAGAGAAACAAATGGCATAATTGAGTCTACGGGAGAGACGAGAAAGAGGGTGGCTTTAGGAGGAGGCGATAGCATTTTCACAGATAAATCTGTGCTTTTTCCTGTGTATTGTCCACACTGCTGCTGTAGATGTTAGCTGCAGTTCCCTGCAATTTTGCACCTCCTTGTTTCCTCAAGGCCAGAGGAAGATTTTCCTAACCATCATTTTTCCAATTCCTCCAATCATTTTGCAAGATTTTAGTTTCCTGTACTAAATGACTTTTTTTTCTGGAAGTACCTTAGCTATCTGACTCATGATTAATAGACTTCACTGATTGCTACATGCTTCCATTGTATAAGGTTTTAGATAATTCTGAGTGAGCCACAAATGTAGTCTATAGAGCTCTTTTCACCTATACAAATGTCTAACCTTAATGACCTTCCAAAAAAATAAAACCAATCTTGAACAAATACTCATCTTCATTGGTTTTAGCTATTCCTACATGTAGGAATGTATGTATGTAGGAATAGCTAAAACTCTGCTTTTCTATAAGTCGTATAATAAAGATGATTTTCTTATCATGTAGTCTATCGTTTACATCCATATGCATGTATCTTCAAAGCCGCTTTTATATTTACTTGACTTATCGATTCAGTTTCCTTGGTGGATATTTACTGAGGACTAATTGGTGCCAGGAACTACAAACACCTGTGATATAATGAGGATTAAAACAATGCTGGTCCCTGCCTTCATATGCTCCATATGCAGCAAAGACTAGAAAAAGAATCTGCAAATGGTAGAACATTTTAAGTACAACTAGATCCTATATAGGTTTTCAAGTCATAGAAAGATTTTTGGCATAAGAATGGTGAGGAAAAAAGTGATTTGACAAAATCTGAGTTTTTGAAAAATCACTTGTTTTATGGGTAAAAGTTGGATTGGATGGGAAAACAACAAGATATATAAAGAAAAATTAAGAAGTTGCTCCATTAAACCAAATGAGAAATATAGGGGTCTGGGGAGATAATCACAGCTTGAACTATGGTGGGGAGCAGAGAGATGGAGAAAAGTGAATTGATTCAAGAAATGTCTAGGAATTAACACAAAAGGTGAGAACTTATTGGACATGTGTGATAAAGAGACAGAAGAGACAAGAGTGGCTCCAAACCGCTTACATTTTGGGGAACCAGGTAGATAGCAGTATCATGACTGTGACAGGTAATATAGAAAAATAAAGTGGAAGTGGGGTGAGGTGGAAATCAAAAATATCAGGTTCTGACTTAGACATGCAGGATTTGCTCTACTGGTGAGACACTATGTGGGCATGTCAAGTGGGCTGACAGAGATGCAGATTTAACAAGCAGAAGAAAGCTCTGGTGTGAGAACAGACGCATCTTCAGTGCATCCTCCAAGTGCAGCCTTAGGAGCGAGTCTGTTGACTCAGGCTCATATACAGACTGCAGAGAACACCCAACTAACTCTGCAGGGGCTGCCATGATCCCTCTCTCCTTAGCTGTGTCAAAGGCTGACTGTCTCATGTTGGACAGTAACTCTGACATAAAGTAACACACGTTTCTCTAATTTCCCAAATTCTTTATTTCAACCCATAAAATCACTACATAAAGGACATTTCACTAATGAGTTAAATAGCTAGATCACATATATTAATTGGATTTCAATAATTTACTATGACAACAGGTGATACAGTACCATGCACATTTTCTAGAGTGAAAGAATTCTCCAGGAGGAAACAAAAAGTCTCTAACCACAATTATCTATTAGCATTTTATGCAAAGGAACTTCCTTTTAAAAGACAAAAAGCTTCTTCTTGGACAGTTATGCCAGGCCTAAGAAAAAAATGAATTCTTCAATTATATATTATAGATATAATTATTTGTCAGCTTCTTATTCAGTCTTACACTTTTTAACTTCCACTGTTTTCATTCTTTCTCAGTATTTCAAAAGCACAGTTCATTTCAAGACCAGTCATTTATTTTTAGCATGAAAATAATTAAGAGACATAATATGAATTTTAACTGTATCCATAAAATATATCAACCCTGTTCACAAAGTTAATGTTTATAACTAAATGCAACAGTCATGCTGAATTTACTTAAAATTTAAGGAAATAAATTCAGTCATACTTATAAACATATATTTATGATGAAACATCATTAATAGCATCCAAAGTTCAGTTATTTTCACATATTAATTATTTTTTATAAATGTAATAGAGTTTTAGCATCTTTGGTTGGATAATATTGAAATAAAAATTGCATTCACAAAATCATTAAAAGAAAAGAACTATAGCATCTATGTTCCACTGTTTATAGGTAAAATTTTATTATGTATATATTCCTAAGTTATCCAAAAATATAGCTAATTATTTCCAAAGAAGGATAATTTATGTTGAAATTGGTCCCAATAGAACATTTCCAAAGTGGAATGCAAGTAATGTTTTTAGTAGTTCTTACCAGATAGGTTCCATTTTGATGAAATTATATTGTCTTATGAATCATGAATGGGTCCATGGAAGATGAATTTTTAAAAAAATAATACTACTGCAGTGAACACAATACACCTATGTACTAGTGCAAAAACTGCTTACCAATAAGCACAAAATGTTACAAAATGCCACGAAACTACTTCCTAATCTGATTTAATTCTCAGTGAAGACAAGTTCAGCTCCAATAATAATAGAAATAATGTGTTCAAAAAGTTATAACAATTAGCAATGATTAAACATATTGCATTGCATCTTTATTTGTTATCCAGATAGTAACTATATAAAGCAGAGACAACTTGTAATGAGAAGCTGAATGAAGGTTTACATTTCTCTGAGAATTTCATTCAGTCTTCAATTCTAAGTTGTATAAACTTTTCATTAAATATGCATTTGGTTTTAAAAAAACAACTGGTTAACTGAATGGTAAAGATTTCCCACATAATTTGTCAAAACACTAATCACACAGAAAATTTCAGTTTACTTCCTTGAAGCCATCCTAACAGCTTGTAACATTTACCTGTAATGTTCTCTGATGGTTTTATTCCACAGGAAGAATAACAAAAAGCCAGAATACAACAGAAAAGAGTCTATGCCTTTCTAGGAAATTGGTGTTGATAGACTTTTCATCAGATGAGGGGTGGGGGAGACAGTGAATTATACATCATTCCCAACCTATCCTCTAGTGTGATTTGAAGGTCAGCTTTTTGCCATACATTGACATGAGTCAGCCATGGATCTACATGTGTTCCCCATCCCGATCCCCTCTCCCGCCTCCCTCCCCATCCCATTCCTCTGGGTCTTCCCAATGCCCCAGCCTTGAGCACTTGTCTCATGCATCCAACCTGGGCTGGTGATCTGTTTCACCCTTGATAGTATACTTGTTTCATTGCTATTCTCTCAGAACATCCCACCCTCGCCTTCTCCCACAGACTCCCAAAGTCTGTCAATGTATGGCAAAAACCATTACAATATTGTAAGGTAATTAGCCTCCAACTAATAAAAATAAATGAAAAAAAGATAATAAAGGTAAATGTTATTTTTTTTTTAAAGTCAGTTTTTTCACCCACACCTTTGGCAATGCTGCTAACATCAATTCCTTGCTCATGTTTCCTTCACTCTTGGAATCAGTCAAAACCATTTCTCTCTGCTTTGACTCATAATTCAACCTACCATCCAAGGAACCATAAGCAAACTCTTATGCTGCCTTGTCTTTGAATTTGAATGCTTTTATTAGACTCCGCCAACCAGTTTTCCATGAATTATACTGCATATGCTTCCAGTGAAATGCTTCCTTAAAATGGGAAATGAGGATGCGCCTGCATGCTTTCCTAAACCAGGTCTATAGTTCTGGTCAGAATTCATCCATGGATTTTCACATGTCAGTTGCCTTAGACGTTGGTAGCCTCTGTGAAAGAATCACTGGGACCATTATTCTTTGCGACTTGCAGGTGCTTTTTAGCCTTGAATGTCACAGACACCTCAGAGTGAATGGCGTCCAACCTCTGCTCACAGCGAAACGCGGAGAGGAAAGCCTTTCTATAGTTGCTGTTCATCCAGCCGTAGAGGAGGGGATTGGCAAAGGTGGAGCACATGGCAATGATGTGGGACACAGTGAAGATGAGTTTGTATTCCTTCAGGTCCAAGACGTGGCTGTCAATGTCAACAGCGAGTTGGAAGGCATGGAGGGGCAACCAGCTGACCGCAAACACCACCACCACACACACCAGCATTTTGGTGGTTTTGTGCCTCCGCTGATGGTACTGGTCATGAGCAGCCCCAGGACTGACATGGTTCTTAAGTTTACTCCAAATCCGAGTGTAGGAAAAAGAGATGATGCCCAGAGGCAAAACATACAGGATTAGTAAGGAGGCCAGACTGTAAACAGTGCCATAGATGCCCTTCTCCTCTTCAGGCCACTTCTCAGTACAGGCCACAATCTCAAAGTCAGGAATGATCTCAATCAGCGAGTACTCCCGGAAGATGGCCAGGGGGCTTGCTAGCAGGGCGCTGACACCCCAAGCCAAGCCAATAATCAAGAAGCTGATTTGCTTGGAAATCTTGCTCTCGAGGTGGTAGACGATGCAACGATGCCGGTCCAGGGCAATCACCGTCAAGGTGATGGTGGACACTTGGACGGCCAGGCCCTGGGCATATGGCACCAAGTGGCAGAGGACAGGACCCATTTTCCACTCCCCCATCAAGGTGTAGGTAAGTGTAAATGGCAAGCACAGGGTGTTCACCAGAAGATCCGCCACAGCCAGATTAGCAATAAAGAAGTTGGTTACTGTACGCATGCTCTTGAATTTGATCACCACATGGATCACCAAGGAATTGCCAATCACCCCAAGCAAGATGATGGAGCAGTAGGCCAATATAAGGACAACCTGCACCTCAATCAGCTTGGTGCTGTCTATAAGCTCTGGTTCAGAGTCAGGGGCCAGCTCCCCTGTTGGAATGGTGTGTCCTGGACCGAACTGATCCACTTTCATCTCTTCCACTGTCTGGTTCTCATCAGCCTCTGCACCTAACGGGCCCATTTTCATCAGCTAGCACAAGAATCTACAATTTAAAAAATGAACAAGTGTGAAACAAGGAAAGCATAAGGGTGCAAGGAATATCAGAAATGGATTGGTTTCGTTTTAGCTGGGGTTCAAAGTACCTGTCCTTCGATCCCTAAAGTACCTGGATCCCACAGGAACGGCCTGCAGTGACTTTGTCTCCAGCTGGAGGCACATGGTCCCTGGCTTCAGTCACACCACTTTCTCCCCGTGTCCCTCTAGCTGGAGGTAGTGATGATTCTTCGCTCTTGCTTATCCCTGTGTAGCCTCAACATCCTCTGTCTGGCTTCTATCACTTGTGTAACTAATTTTTGGCATTAAATTACTTCTATTTTGCATTCTTGAATAGGCTGTTTTGCATGATATGTTGAGCTGGCCATGCACGTATGCTTTCATTAATTTTCTCTGCCACGACAGGTGCTACATGCACAGGTTGACGACATTGATATAAAGAAGAAAATCACAGCTCCACTGTATGACATCCAAAGCTTTCCTTGAACTCAACCCTGTCTTCATCTCTCCTGACATTTTAGGATATATCTGATCCTTCTGTCATACTGAACTATTCTTAATTCCAGCAACAGACTGGACTTTCTATGCCTCTCTGCCCTCCCTGCTGTTATCCCAACAACCTATGCTTACTTCCAAGGCTGCAAGGAGCATATGACACATCCTTCAGCCTCCACACCACAGCAATCTCTTTCAGGACACATTTCCGTTTCTGGACTGTTTACATCCATTGTTTAAACCTTAGTAAACATGAAGTTGAAGGAAAGCATAATTTTACTGAATAAATGAGGTCAGCAAAATACTAAGTAACAATTTTGATCCTTTCCTTTACTGAAGATAATTCCCTACACAGGATCTTTGCTCTGACATGACATCTCTCTGCTAATTTTCTTATATGTAACCACCAAGTAACCACCTCTACAAGAAAGTTGTTCCAAGACACAATTACTGATTAGAATATTAAAAATTGGTACTCGGTATACACCATAAGGAAATGTTCTCTCTCCAAGGGCTTCACACACATACACACACACACACCCTAATAGTTGCTTATCACAGAGATTTTCATATACTCATGCATTTGCTTTACTGATATATTCTAGTTCTCTCTGCATGCATTTCAAACAGAATGTTCCAAAAAGCACACCCTCTTTTGCACTTGCCTCCATTCTTTTGTGATTAGAGAAAGTGGAAACTACCCAAATCTTGGAGTATTTTATTTGATGGGCCCTTCCATTTTCCTTAGAGTAAGAAAGAGACTTTACTGGGCACAATTAGTCAATCCTGACAAGTCATTAACAGAACAAATGAGACTCCAGAAGGTCTGAGGTTTGCAGCAAACTGAGAGCAAGCCTGAGATAGAAGGTTATTAGAAGCATACTTGATTTATTAATTTATTTTGCTTTTTCTTTTCAATCTCATTTTATTTATTCCTTTCTTTAAAGCTTCTATACAGAAATGATTATTAATCTCCAAGGTATTAGCATATGGATTCTAATAGCTGTTCTCAAGCACACGACTCAAGCCAGGTCTGAGTGTTACTCAGAGAATGCATCATTTTATGATTGCACTTCAGGAAAAGTAGAAGAGGATAAGAGAGTACATACAGGGAATTGCCAGAGTAAAAACTCACAAAGGCACAAAAATTAAAAGATGAGTAGAAATGGGGAAAAATTTTTTCTTGAAGTAAGGTCAAAATGAGGTATTTACATTGTTCAAGACATCTGAGGATAGCTGTGAGTGGTACAGTTATCCTGAATGAATGAATTTTGAGATTCTGCTATAAAACAATTTCTTTGTAGAGCAGGAATATGGCTTTAGGACTTTTTCCCCCTCAGAAATTCAAAAACCTTCAAATTATGAAGTGGGAAACTAGTTTATGCTTTGACTCCATATTTAAATTTTTTAAACAGTATTCTTATTGTTACAGGTTGGCTTTAATAAAAACATTATCATCTTATCAGTCACAAAACCATCCAGGAGTTTTTTTCTCAGGGAAAAACCACACATACACATGCCCTATACTTATTAGTCCTGGAAAGAGGGGCTGTGGATATCGAAGAAAGCCCTATGTAAGACATGTCTGTTTGCCTGATAAGCAGAAAGTTGAAAATCAATGAACCAAGTTCATGAAATGTTGAACCAAGATTACCGAGAATGAATCTCTTCTATGTATTTGAACCTCTGACCTTTGAACCAGCCCTGTGCATTTCATGTCATTTAGTTTATATGATGTGTCTCTATTACCAAAAGCCTTAAAGCTTTTCCTTTTGCCTCTTTTTTTGGTCATCATATGATCCTACCAGGGGGTGAGCCCTTCCGGTGGGGAACCAGTGAATGATTGCATAAATGTGTCCATTCTTGAACAGTTTAGGAGAATGCAATATGACTTTCCCACCTAAACATATGTTTGATTTTTTAAAGCGGCAGGAACAGTAGCAATCTGCTCTTCTGGAAAGATAATTACCTTTCTTAAAAAGAGTCAAGACTCTTCAGTGGGTAAGAAATATTCCTGGTATCACCCATAATGCCCACCTTCGGCCTAAATGTGGAATAAAAGCCCCTACACTCATGAAGACCTTCCTCACCGCCATCAAAGGACCTGAAAGCTTTCTTTTTCGGGATGCTCTCATTCCCAGATGAGTCAGAGTTAAGATTTAACACGTACTGACCGTTTCTGTTGAGGGGTGGAAGCCAGACGTCTTGCCGCCGGTCAGTCTGATGATTGCCCGCAGACCCGGAGAGGGCACTGGAGGATTCCCAAACGCAGGCCCAGTTCCGTCCCCTCCGACGGTGCAGGGCAGCCGCGCGCCGGGGAGAGCAGGAGAGCTCCGCGCGCGCCGGGCGGTCGCAGCCGCAGGGAGGCTGGCGCAGCTGAGATCGGCCGCCCACTTCCGCGGCCCAGCGCGTGGGCCACGCGCCGCCCCGCACAGCGCGGCGCGAAGCGCGGGTGGGGAGGCGAGGCTCCGGAGGTGGGAGCAGAACCCCTCCCTCGAAGAAAAAGCATGGGCAGAGGAGGGGCAAGGGTTCCGCTGTGGAGAATGCTGGACGGGGATCTCCGCGATGGGGCAGGGGACAGAGTCCCAGTGTCTCCTCCCGGAGGGCTGGAAACGAGCGCAAAGGGCCCCTGCCCGGAACCCCCTCGGGGGTCCCCACCGCCGCCTGCAACCTCCTTTCCTCTGACCACCACTGACCCCCAGGAGCCACCTCAAGTTTGCTCCTCCGAGCGCTGGCACCACTCCTCCCTCCTCCCTCTTCTAACGACCCCTCCCCCTGTTCTCAGCTCCTAGAGAGATGGCCCCGCGCGGACAGACCCCCGGACTCCGGCCGGCTCACCACAGCCGCCGGGGAGGGAGGCAGGACCAGGGCGAAGGCAAGGCAGACAGACCCAGCCGCGGACGAGAGGACGCCTGGAGCTGGCTCGAGGCGGACCCGGGAGGCAGAAACCCAGCGAACTGGCGGAGCTGGGAAAATCCCACAACTCCAACCAGGAGTCGCTTTCCCTTTTGCCAGGAGAAACAGAGGTGGGGAGCTGGACCCCGTGCAGAACCGCGGAAAAGCACCTCACAAAGCGTGGAGGACCAACCCTCTGCCAGGGCTGGAGTGCAGGGCTTTGGTGTAACTCTGGGAGATCGCTGAGCTCCACGCGAAGGCAAAGCGAGTTAAGATCCTCGTTGCCCAGAATCGACAATTTCCTGAACAGGTGTCTGTTGACTGTTTAGAAGTTGATTCGTGCTCATTCAGATTCAAAAGCCGGCAGCCCGGATAGTGTGCGCTTCTGCTCAGGGCAAAAGCTAGAATAGGAAGAGGAAAACAACGGGTCACGAAAAGTCCTAAATCTTCATCTCTCGGGTTAGCTGACTTCTAGATCCTTCCCTCTCTAGTCATGACCTAAGGCGCATGCCAGGGTTCGTGCAAGCCTCCAGAATCCTCTCACCAGTCTGCTCCCAGCGATGCCCTCTGCCAAACCGCTGCCCGCCAGACTGAGTTAGAGCCTCAGAGTAAAACAGGATTGTGGAGTCAGTCAACAAAGATTGTTCCTCCCAGAAACTCTTAATTCAGAACCGTTCCTTCTCGTGGTTTTCAGCCAATCTCTCTTCCCCTTGTTCACTTTTAGAGGTAGCAGCAGAGCATTTCGAACTAGCCTGAAACGTGTATGCATCAGTCTCTTCATATCTGAAATGAGAATGGTTATTCTGCTTCACTTGAAATTTCTCTGAAGTATAAAAAAGATTACACTACTAAAAAATACTCTCAAAAATATTAGTTAACTCCTCTTCTCAAAAGCACTGAGATTTCAAACTGTGAGGACTTGCATGCACCTTGGTACTGTTGCATATGTAAGGCATTTTTACTCAGTCTAATCTGAAATTGATCTGGCTAATGCAAATTATGCCTACAAAAGCATGATTTATTGATAAATTATCTCAAAAATTATTGATAAAACAAAGCAGCTTGGGCTTTTCAATTACCAAGACACAAAAAACCCATAGAACTGGAAATATCCAAATGTTCTACACAGTTCTACTTAAAAACATTTTTGTACATTTTTTACCTTGGAGAAATATTCTTTGTTTGTAAATGTATTTTCTGCAGTAGGTTCCATGCTTAATATATTTGCACCAGTGAAGAATGAACTGCGTGCCAAGGAGCTGTAACTTTAGGAGAGTTAAGAGAGGCTTAAAACAACAATTAAGAAAGCAAATATACAGGAAAACAGATGAATATTGTTCTTGAAAGTAATTACTTTGGAGGACTCAAGAGATTTCACTGACATAGATTACACAAAATAACTTTGCCTCTTTTTAGAACCATTTTTCCAAAGCATCTTAGCAAGTGTATATAAATATTTGTCCCATCATCTTATAGACACGTATGTGTCTCAGAAGATTCACATAGTTCCACAGACATCTGGTCAGTGATCCTGATGAGACTGCATGGCATTTTTGATTAATGTTTTCCAATAAAGT